AAGTGATTTGCCCTGATTTAGAGCATAAAAATAAAAGATATTCATTCCAAATGTATAAACCAGAAAGTAAGGTATATATTTATTAACATTATGCATACCCTTATTGGTATGCATTGGAATTAATGGAAACAGCAGGTCAACAATCTGGCTCCTGCTTCTTGCTGCTCTAGTGAGACATTTCCACCAGAAGCAAAGAGATGCCACTGTGAATGTATACATTTTAACGTTTGCCCTTTAACTTAACAGTTATCAGAATAAAAACCTTTAAGGAAGCAATAGATAAATAAATGACACTAAAATAAATGGCCTTCTTTGCAGTTCTCCATATCATAATCCTAACTGCAACATAAGTCAATATTAGAAACATCTGAAAGTTGTTGTTCCAGATAAGAGGAGCTGGCGCAGTGCCCAGGGTAAAATCAACATCTGCCAGATATAAATTGTGGCTTTCCTGTTATCCTGCATTCTATCCGAAACTATGAGTACTCCATAACATGGGAATTTGCCATTTTCCCAGTGGCCTTGCTTTGGATCACAGTCAAGTCTACAAGGCTTAGCTTCTAGCATAAGAGGTTCAACACTGACTGAAAAGCACACAACAAACTTTTCCCTTTGAGTCATGATGTGTGTCGGAGGATCGTTTTGGTTACTTAGTGTTGCTGAAAAAGTGTTCTGGACTGGACAGATGACATTTTTAGACCTTGCTGAGTCCTTATTTAGCCTAAGCTTCACTTGGCTTCCTTCATCATCTGATCATTTATGTTTGCATCCTAGTCATAAATCCCCTAAGAAAAATCCTCTAAGGAAACATACACTGAATGATAAGAGCTAATGACAGATATCCAGTTCAGAGTGTTCATGCTTGGTAAGGTACAGCATGGCTTGAAATGTTAAAGAGGGAAAAGGATTAAGGCTGCAATCCTAAATATACTTGCTTGAGAATAAGTCCCAATGAGATTTAGTTCTGAATAAACATGCTTTAGTATTTGCTGCAAGTCTCAAATCATGAAAGTTCAGACCATCCATTTTCACTGCTGGAATGTACTATATTATCAGCTTGCATATTTCTGCATAAAGTCTCACAGTAGTGTATGATCCTTGTTATGTTCTATCCTGCAGCAAAATGAGACACCTTTCCTTTAAAATCTATTGTAACACTTAGCTATTTTCCATTAATAGGATGGTGGAGAAATCTGCAATTGAAACTGTAATTAAAACCCAGTCTCTGGATTCTGCAGTGGAATGGCTTTATCTGAGTCATATGGGTACCATTGTTGACCATTTTATGTTTCCAAATATTGCACAAATTTAGCCACATAGTTTTTAAAAATTCCCCCACAAACTAAAATTGCACATTTCCCCCACAGCCTAAAACATGATAATTCAAGTGGGGGATTTACACATTACTGGAAGTGCTAATTTGTGCAAATTGTGTACACATGCAAATTCAGGTAACTGGGTAATTAAACAACAGAACGAAAGGTACCTGACAATCCACAAAAAGCAAGCAGAATGCTTGCTCACCTTAACATGAATGCTGTATACATATTTAAAAAAGAATGAGAGAGAACGTAAAGAATATTTCTTCTATTTTGGAAAAATAGCAAAGCCCTTTTAGATGTTACACTAGTGAGTTTACTCAAAAGTAAATCCCTCTATATATTTATGATTTATGGGCATGTATTTGTTTGGATCAATCACAGTGTTACAGAATAGTAAGCAAGGTTCTGGGTATTTCAGAACTCTTTATAGAGTTGGAAGTTTTGCTCAGTGGAACTTGATTCCCAGAGAAATTTGAATATAACAATTCAGCTTTTAAAAAAGATAGGAGAAATGAACTAATTATATAAAGACTTTTGGATTTCTGAATGTTTGACATAAGCCTGAGATAGTGAAAGCTTCAGGCTTGCAATTTCTATATGCACTGGCATCTGAGAGAAATGGGCAAAACATGAATCAGATCAAACCAAACTTTATGGAATTTCAAATTTCTATCCTTGCACTCTGCTAGGCCACTCCACTGAGTGCTAACCATGAGTGCTTCCAACTTTTTGGTTTATTTTTGCTAACTTTATATAGGTAAGTAATTAACATAATTAATAAGGAGGAAAAGCATATCTATAGCATGAAAAATGCAGCTTAGACCTGAGAATAGTGCAACATTTAGCCAGCAGGGGTTGCTAATGAACAGAAACACCCATGAGAGTGACTGGTGGTGAAACACTTTTATATATAAATTGTAAGAATCACTAAGAATCTTTGCTGTTTATGCCAATAGCTTTTGCTTGATGATAGTTGAGCTGGGGCAGAGGCAATCTGGACAAAGTAGGAATTGCATTCATTTTACAGACTAATAGAACAAAGCTCTGCTTTAAATTTCATGTGAAAATACCTCTTAAAGACTAGTGTTTTTGTTATAGATTGTAGAGATACTTTCCATACTTGACGGGCTGGTTTTTCTAAAGGATTCCCTAAAACTCCATATAGGCAACCACTGAAAGGTGAACCTCACCTGAATTCTCTAAGGCATTGAACTGTTTGAGGAGTTTGACGCCTGTTGCCAAGGTCAATTTGCTAGAAAGAAAATCAAAAGGATTTACAGTTAGGATTTACTTGTCCAAAGCCCACAAGGCATAAAGATTAATAAGATGTTGTGAACTACCATATGAAGACAAGAGGTAGCTTAGCAACCATGGAGTCTTGCACATGGGGAAGAATTTAATAAGAATCCTCCATTTAAAACAGTGCAGGCAAACATTCATATATAAAGACTACTTTTTTGGTGTGAGGAGAGAATTACAAAGGAAATCCACAATCAGACTAGATTCCAAATAAAACTCAAGTCAGTCAGTCTAAGTCTAACTAAGCTTGTCAGTCTAAGTCTAACTAAGCTTGTTACAAATTACTTAGCGAAGTATGGTACTGGGTGTTAGAGTATGTGCAGAGCATGTAAAATTCTGTGTAATTACTACTTCAAGTGTGCTATCTTGGTTCTGTGGGCCAACTCCAAAGCAATTGTGAATGTATGTTGTTGTTGTTGTTGTTGTTGTTAGTCGCGAAGTCGTGTCTGACCCATCGCGACCCCACAGACAACACTCCTCCAGGCCTTCCTGTCCTCCACCATCTCATGGAGTCCACCCAAGCTCACACCAACTGCCTTAGTGACTCCATCTAGCCACCTCATCCTCTGCCGTCCCCTTCTTCTTTCGCCATCTAGACTCAGCATTAGACTCTTCTCCAGGGAGTCCTTCCTTCTCATTAGGTGGATGTATAGACCAGATGGATGTATAGACCAGAGCTAATGGACAGAGATTTGCCTTGTTCTGGCAAGTCACAGACAAGGGACCACTCAAGGGTATTACACAGTGTGCATTACCTACAAACAACCAAATGAAGGAAATCAAAAATAATCAAGATAAAATTGCTGGCACAGGAGAGCATTGCTGCTAGCTTCGCCAGTATATGCAACCTCTCAGTTTTTAAATGCTTACATGAGTGCTTCTGTAATTCAGTTAGTTCAGACAAGTGTCAGAGAGTTAAAAAAAATAAAAGAAAGTGAGATTTTTAGATGTCACAGTGGTAGTAAAGGCTATGACATATTACATATCAGACACTGAAAGGGAAGCAAAGTAGAAATGCTAATCAGGCACAGTGGAACAGAATTTATTTTTGTATTATTATTTCTGCTGTTGTGCAGGCAATAGGGAAGTATTGACTGTACAAAGCTTTTTCAAGCATGCAGATATTGTTATGAGAAATGTTTTGCCTTTTTATGTTTGCATGGCAGATGGCTGCTAAAGACACAGAATCCTTTCAGAGTCCTGCTGCCTTATCCTATGGATAGTGCTCAATTTTGACCAGTAGTACCAACTTGGGTGTTTCTATGTGATATTACAAACACAGAAACAGAGCAAGTCAGAAGGGGCATCTGGGACATCTAGTCTGACCCTTGCTCCAGTCCACTGCACTCATGACATGCCTACCATATGCATGTCCAGCCTATCCTTAAACACCCTCACCAATGGGGCTTCAACCACCTCCCATGGTATTAATAAACATGTTTGGGTTTCTCTTTGCTTTACACATGAATGCTGCTAAAGTGGAAGATCCAGGAAAATATTTAGGAGAACGCAAGATCACTTAGTTTCATGTGTGAGAACATGTCCAGAGAAGCTACATCTTCCCAAGTTGTGTCCACAGATTGGACAGGCTAGGAGCTGTGCCCAGTCCTGGACTTGAACACTTTTTCCATGGCAAAGAGGAGAGAGAATACTTTCTCAGTGGGGGTTTCCCAATCTTTTTCTCCATGCAGCACTGCGAGAAAGGAAAATGGGAGTACACCCGGGCAGTGAGAACGCTACTGTGATACGGATGCTCCCAGCTCCCTTCTCTCTCCTTGACTTAGATGCCTTTCAGCCTTGCGTCATAACGGAGGGAGACCTGCACTCTGCGCTGAGCAATTTGGGAGAACGTAAGGAGAACATCTCAGAAGTAAATTGAAGGTGGAGTTGCAGATTCTGGGCGGCCCCTCCTAGCTGGGGTAAGTGGGGTGCCCTCTTTGCTGACTCAGTGCAATCAGCAAGATGAGGAGGGAAGGTAGAGCAAGTTGGGGCAAAGCACCCCCCTTTCGCATTTTCTTCCTCCCCTCCTGTCCCAATTGCTAGACCAAGCGCGGGGACTAAAACCCGATCCAGGCAGCCTCTTCGCAACCTCTCTGGGTTCGTGCCTCGCTCGCTGCTCGGTCAAGCAATTGGGACCTGGGGAGAGAGAAGGGAGGCGATTGTAGCAGAGGAGGCTGGAGAACCGCCCCAGCCCGGGGGCAGCTTTTGCTGTCAGAGTGAAGAGACACGTCAGGCCGACTGAGGGAGGAGCGTCAAGGTGGGGAATTAGGAGAAAAGGCAGCGAGAAGAGCGCAGTAGGCAGCGCGCCGCCGGTCAGGGGCTGTTGTTGCCGTCGGTGCCGAGGGAGTCCGGCTCGCTGGCCCCGTGCTTCGCTGGCCAAGTAAGAGAAGCGGGAAAGACAAGCGGCGAGGTCCGCTTCTGCAGCTGCAAAAGGAGGCGAGAGGAAGGTCTGCTCGCCACCTGGGTCCGGTGCGCTCGCCCGGCGCGCCCTGCCTTCCTCCCTGCGCTCAGCGCTAAACGAAGGACGGAGAGCTCCGGCTTCTCCGCGCCGCTCGTAAAGAAAGGACCGGGACGGGTCAGGGGCTTTTGCTCCGCGCCGGTGGATTCTTCGGCGGGGGTTTGGGTTTCGGAGCGCCGGGTCAGGACGGGACTGCGGGGAAGCGGGCGCAGAGCCAGGCGGGCCAGCTGTTGCTTCCTTTCGCCGACTTTGCCTCCCCAAGGCGCGCAGAGTGGAGATGGACGCAGAGGCATCAGCCGCCTCCACGAACCAGAGCTGGGGGCTGCTGCCCGGGCTGGACGCCAATGCCTCCAGGTCGTCCCTGGAGCACCGCCAGAAGGAGAATGCCCACTTCGCCTTCGAGATCGGCATTGAAAACTTCATCACCCTGATCGCTTTTGGGCTCATTTTCATGCTGGGCGTGCTGGGCAACTCCTTGGTCATTACAGTGCTTGCCCGGAGCAAGCCCGGCAAGCCCCGCAGCACCACCAACATCTTTGTCCTCAACCTGAGCATCGCTGACTTGGCCTACTTGCTCTTCTGCATCCCCTTCCAGTCCACAGTGTACTTGTTGCCCAGCTGGGTCCTGGGCACCTTCATCTGCAAATTTGTCCACTACTTCTTCACCGTCTCGATGTTGGTCAGCATCTTCACCCTTTCAGCCATGTCTGTGGACCGCTATGTGGCCATTGTGCATTCCCGGCGCTCCTCATCCCTGAGGGTGTCCCGTAACGCACTCATTGGCGTAGGGGTCATCTGGCTGCTCTCCATCGCCATGGCCTCCCCTGTGGCTCACCATCAGCGCATCATCCAGCGTGACTTCGTTAACCAGACTTTCTGTTGGGAAGTGTGGCCCAATCTTCAGCACAAGAGAGTCTACGTGATCTGCACCTTTGTCTTTGGGTACCTGCTGCCTCTGCTGCTCATTTCTTTCTGTTATGCTAAGGTAAGTGCAAGCTCATAAGTTGCAGAGGAGGTGCCACACAAGCATGTGAGACACCCACTCCAGTGAGTATGAAAGGGGGGAATCTCTACAGGGCAAGGATTTACACTATACTACAGTAAAACAATGTGGACACATGCCGTGCACAGCTTACCCACAAGCGATGCTTCTTCTCCTGTATGGTACATAGCTTCTATCAGAGGGCAGCCTACAGATACGCAAAGGCTGACTGAGTGCAAGGAATCTTTCATGTGAAGAATCTCTGCACTGGGCATAGGTCTAATTGCCTAATGTTCTACATGCATTGAAACTTCAAAGTTGAATATGCAGCAGTTCAGGTTTATAAGAACTTAATGAAGTTATGAATGGGGTAGCTTGGGGAGGGCTTACCTGGAAAGTATGGGAAAGTATTGCACAATCTGAAGTACAGAATATGAGGTGACATTCATAGGGCTTAACAATTTATTGATCTCGTGTTCTCTTAATGGTATGGCAAACTTTCTAGTAGAAGTTGGCAAACTTTCTAGTTATGGTACTAGAGTGAGAACTGAGAGAGAGCAGCTAAAGTACCCTGCTTTTGTAATTGTGCTGCACCGCTTGCAGCTTAGTCATAGACATACATGTTTCTAATACCTGTTTCAAAATGGGACATGCTTCTGGGTTCTTGCTGTGCTTCTTATTGTGTGGCTAAAGACAGAAGCTTTAATCCAGACATCTTTGCAAGCAGCAATGGGCTATGTCTGAGTGAATGCTGCTTTGTATGATGATGACAGCATGTGAATCATCTGCTGGAGGATAAAGGAAGATGTTTCCCAAAATCTGTTCCTGCAGCAGCACTGATTTCCAGGTACTGGTTGCACAGACCACGTCCCAGTGGGAGTTCTGTGAACAGAAGCCTTATGTCATTTAGCAGATGAAGAGCTACTGTCAATGGGGGTCTTGCCACTTTCATGAATGGATTATGGACTAGAATGAGAAGAAGAAACAATGCCAACAGGGCAGTGTGTTCTCTGAGTTGCACTCATGATAGTCAGTGTCAGCTCTGCTATTGTCTTCATTGGCTTAGACTAAGAAGCAGTTAGTGATGAAGACCTCATTTTGACTGTCTGATTGAGACAGAGAAAATCAATAGAGATGCTAGAAGCTGAAGGGCCTGAGCCATAGCATTTAAGGTCCACATGCACTTTAATTCTGACTGATGATCTACTTTCTATACTCCCACTGCCTGCATCCTTGAATCCAGAATAACTTGAACCATTATTTTGCTAGAATTCACATTTCGTTGCAGCAGACTGATTTTATTCTTACTGAAACTTATTTCATCTCTTGACATCTATAACTGTTTTACCTTCATAGCCAAAATTTCACTGATTCTCATATTCTAAAGAACAATGAATTTTGGAATTGGTTCTTTAATTAGAAATATTGTTTGAAAATAACTGTTTTTTCTGTCTTTAGTCCAGACTTTCTATACTTCCAAGCAGGCCCAGAGCCAAAAGGGGACAAAGGATGCAGTTCCCCACCTCAGCAGGCAATTTACTCACTCACTAATTTCCAGCTGCTAACTGTGTAAATTGCCCACATGAGGTAGTGGCTTCTTTCCCTTCAAAGTCTTCTCATACAGCAAAATGCTTAAATGTAATATGCATGAAAATATCAAGTAGAACAGCTTGATAGCAGGAATGCTAGCTTTCACTTGTAGGAATGTCTCAAAAAAAAAGACAGAAATGTTTCCATTTTGAATAGCAAAAGTGGTAGGATGCATCAATTATTAGTAAGGCAGTTCTAATTATTAGTAAGACACTTAGAACATCTCTACATGGTTGGCTCCACTTCCAGTCACTGGCACAGCAGCTGCTCATGCATAGACTTTCCATTCACAGCAACATGAAGATCTCCTGGAGGCATGGCCAGTGCCCTGTGGGATGCTGGGAACAATGCCAGCAGTTACTCTAGTCCTCACACAGATCTCAACAGGAGCAGTATTCAGGCATTCTACATCAAGATGTCATAAATACTGTATACAAGGAAGGGAAGTATATCAGCCATGTCCCAGCACTCTGGCTCTTGAGGAGAGCTTCCACAGCTACGGAAGGCTCTCCTCTTCAGGAAGTCATCCTGAAGGACTAGAGAAGATGTAAGAATGTGAGGAATGGTGGGACTAGCATGCTCTCCCCTTCTCACATGTTTATTTATTCAGATATAGACTAGCTGAATAGAGCTACAGAGAATTCCTTCAAGACTGTTCTGTACCCTACTGCAAACTTGGTGCAACGTTCTGTGTCAGTCTGCATTCTGATCACACACTGAATGAAGCGGGAGCCATTGTGGAACTATTGTGGGAACTGAGGATGGCGGGAACTCCCACACGTACTTTCAGGTCCTGGAAGGCTGCAGTGAAGGGAGGTGGTGCTGGTACAGGCTGCTGCTGTCAGCAGGGAAATCTATCCAGGCAACAACTGTGCACATGGTCCCTGGTAATGAGCACCTCCCCTGCCTTTGCTCCCATCCATCATAGTTAAATACATGATGTATGGAATTCACTTCCCTGGTTGTCACTGAATGGATTTTGCTTAGGAAACTGCTGCACTGGCCACCACTGTTTATTTAAATATAGTCTGTGTGCACAAAGGTTTAGGATGCAAGCAATAATAGAACACATGCAGCCAAATCCTACGGGCTTCCCATTCAAACCTGCCATCTAGTACCATCTAGTATCTCAATCAACTACTTGTCCAAGAAGAAAAGTCTTGCAGAAGATAAGTAGAACAGCTGGTGTATCATTGGGCAATGCTGGCATTGCACACAACATTATTAAAGCATAATGGGTTATAATGCTTCAGCATAGTGGCTATTATTTTAATTTTAATGGCTGGCACAAGATTTAGACCTCAAGCATAATAACAGAGCTGTGCAATTAAGCATGTGAGAATTACATGACCACAAAGGTTTTTTCCCCCTAGCTTGCCTGTCAGGATACTCCTCTGCTGTGGTGTTTCTCTACAGAGGACTCCTAATCCTAGAAATTTATGGCACTGGGAAGCTGTTCCATCTTTTTCTCCTCAGTGACAATTTTGTGTTAAGAAAACAGAAGGAAGAAACAGAAAAAAATATGGGAGGGTCGTGAGTTGTCTCAGACACCCCACAACCTCTTTGAATGTGGCAGGCACTAGAGGAAGCACTACAAAAGTCTCATCTTCAAGCCCCATTGGAAATCTGGGGGTGGCAATTTGGAATCAGGGTGGGGAACACCTTTCATCCCTAATTTATAACAACCTTAGTGGTCACAAAAATGTTAAAAATCCCACTGAGAACAAGTGTCATTAAAACAATGCAGTAGTAACGAAAGAATTAAAATGTGTAGAAATAAGAAATTGTAATTACATGAAACAGAAAAAAGGGAGCTAGATTTTCAGGAATGTTCCAACTATGCTGGCAAAGAGGATTGCATTTTTGAGGGATTCAGTCAGTGAGAAACTCCCAGAAGAAAATGCTTCAGTTATTTATGTCTTGCCTCATTATAGAAGGAGTAGCTCAACATAAAATGGAAGATATTTTTTAACTATTGGTTCCTATCAAATTTTCCTATGATTATATGGAATCTTTTAATATCGGCTATAACCCATTCCTCTCTCATGTTTATCTCTACCTCAATTAAATCAATTAGCTATTAATTACCAGGTTAATTTTTCTTACTTTTCTGGGTAATGGCACCACTCTAAAAAGGTAAAGATTTCGCCATGGCATTAAAGTCCAGACACGTCTGACTCTAGTGGGAGGTGCTCATCTCCGTTTCCTAGCCGAGAGAGCCAGTGTTTGTCCACGGACAGTCTCTGTGGTCCTGTGGCCGGCATGACTAAACACCGAAGTGCACAGAACACTGTTACCTGCCCACCAAAGTGGCACCTTTTTATCTACTTGCCTTTGCATGCTTTTGAACTGGAAGGTTGGCAGGAGCTGGGGCAGAGCAATGGGAACTCACCCCGTTGTGCAGATTCGAACCAGTGACCTTTTGATCAACCAGTCCAGCAGCTTAAACCACTGCACCACCTGCATCTCAACACCACTACTACTTCTGATCTAATTGGAATCAAGAAGTTTGATTAAAGGAATCAACAAGTTAGATTACTTCAGGTATCCATCAGATCAAATTGTTCTTGAAAAGCTTGCAGCAAATGCCATCCTTGCTTGGGGTTTGTGACAAGTAATCAGCCTCTTTGGTCCTCTCTTCTGTAACAAACATTTGCAAGTCTGTCATACTCACCTATAGCTATTGGTGCTCATAATAGCGCCAATAGATTTTTGGTAGATTTCTGTTTTTGTAAAACTTTTATTTATAAAGGTTTTGTTATTGAACAAAGCAGCTTACTTTACATATTGCCTGTCACTGAAGTACTATATACATTTAGCTCCTAAGAAGAACAGTTATTCTAAAAACTCTTTCACTAGAAATTCAAGAGAAACAAAATGTATGTTCTCAGAGGTATTTCACTTGTCAGCATTTTAAGAGCATTTTCTAAGTGCATTTGTACATGAGTTACTAGAAGCATTCAATTCAAGTCTCAATTTTTCTATTAATTCATGTCTCTGAATTGCTTTAACATAGTTTCAAATAAATGCATAGAAATCCAGTTTTTAACTTGAATGGGAATGGTGCAAGAAGACAGAATTTATATATCACATTTCTTAATGTAATTTTTATGGCACCTGGAATGGATGATTTCCTTCCGAGTTGGGGTCTATCAACAAATCAGTAGAACAGAATAATTCTTCAGAAAAGCATGAAATTGGATGCTTCTGAAAAATTTTTTTACTATGCAATTGCTATGCCTCAGTCATGTAATTTTGCAGGGATGAATGATTATGTTGATTTCAGTGTGTAATCTTAAACTTTCCTAGTGCTTTCTCCTTCATTTTCCATTCCAAAAAAAATTCATTTAAGGAAGGAACAATGGACAATTTGCACAAAGTTGAGAGTGTTAGGAACTGTCTCTCTGGAGGCA